CTACCACGGGAAGGAATTGCTTTTGGCATGCCACCCCCTGGCCTTTTACTCGAAAGGTGTGCGTGTGCTGGGTCTATGTGGCCAGAAATTGGGATTCCCTCACTCCCCTCTCTGTTCTGGGCAAGCACTCGAGCAGATCACGACGACGTATTGCTGTCCGAGCAGGGGCCATGCCTAGCTGCAGAACTGAGCTGCGACTGGGAACAGCTCTCCAGCTTCTTTCCGCAGCCTGGTTTGTGGTACTGAGCTGACGTGCATGTCTCTGGCAGCTCCCTCTTTTTGGAATCTCTCCTCATGCTGGGGTGGGGAGCCTTCCGCCAGGCAGGTGCTGCTGTTAACAGCCAGATTCCTCTTCCCAGCAGAAGGCCTGTGGCATTTATAGAAAGCCCTGACTTGTGCCTGGTGCTTTCCAGACAAGACAGAGAGCACACCCCTCCAAAGAATCAATTACAACACAGATGTGTTTTTATGACCCTGTGCCAATCGTGCCAGCACCTGCACCGAGCATGCACTGTCCTGTGGGCAGATTCATCGTACCAGCCTGCCGTTGGCCTTTTAATTCCCTGCCGTTCTGAGTAGCGTTGGAGGTTTACACAAACAGCAGCTACCTGAGAGCTGTGGCTGGGGACCGCTGTGCAGGCTGTGCGCTCGGAGTGAGGGTGCTAGGCTGGGGTCAGGGAAGAGAGCACGCTCTTGGGAATAACAAGGGAAGAGAGCACGCTCTTGGGAATAACAGCTGTACAACTCATAGCCATAGCCTGGAACAAGAATTGCATCCTGGTCTTCCCTGTGTGGGGCAGGGCATGCACGGGTCTGGGGGAGAAGGAGGTGCTGTGACCAGCTGTGGAGGGTGTGTGGACGTGGACACGGGGAGCAGAGAGGTACAATCACTCGGAATCCCGAGGGTGTCGACACCTTGGTTTGCTGTGAAGCAAACCAGTGACATAGCCAGCAGCCTGCTCACCCTGTCCCCTGTGGAAGCTCCCATGTGGACAGCAAAGAATGCAATCTGGCTGCAGTACAGGAGGTAGTGACATCAACGAATCAATGTCCTTCTCTCCCAGGTACCAACTCTGCCATGCCTTTCTCTGTTCAAGGTTTGGTACTAGGTGCCCCTGAAGCATGCAGCCAGTCCCCTTCTTCACAGCCCAGCCGCGGCCTCCTACCCTGCACAGCCCAGCAGCCCCAACCGCAGCCACCCCAACAGCCACCACCGCAGCCCCAAGGACTTCCACCTGCAGCCCAGCAGCAGCCAGCCATGAGTAACCACATGATATCCCAGGTGAGTCGCTGCCCGGTGTCCAGGGCTCGGTAAGCTCCTCGGGCACACAGGTGGGAGGTAGAAGCAGAGCCAGCGTACACCCAGGGTGCTCTGGACTCACGCTTGCCCAGTGGGTTTTGGGTGTCCTCACGCTTGCTGTCTGTTAGGGAGTGACAGTCCCTCGGTGCTATTGGCAGAGAGCAGGAGAAGGTTCGGGGCCTTGCTGAGCCTGAATATGATGCTGCGCCACATCTCAACTTGCCAGCCTCTTCTGTGTGTGCTTGGGCCAGCAGCCCTCCTGGCAAGGGGTCTGTAGCCCTGTGCTGAGTGGCAGGGTTACGTTTTGGAACCAGTTGCCCTCCTGGTGAGGGACTGTCACAAGCGATAGTTGGGTTTGAGCTCCCCAGTGCTGAAATCCCATGGCTGGTCGCCTGATGTCCTGGGGAGAGGCAGACCTGGAACCATGCCTGGGTGTGTGGAGGATGGGTGGAACTGTGCCTGGACTCTCCAGACCCTCCCCAAGTTAAACCCAAGGGATGTTCCACAGCCTGCTGGGCTATTTCTGAGGATGGAGCCCTCTGGAAAGCACTCGTGGCTGTCATTCCAACATACTTTGTTCTGCTCTGCTCCTGAGGCTGTGAAAAACCACGGCACAAGAGCTGCCCCTATATCACTGCAGGACTGGGGAAGGCGGGAGCCAGCCCCGGGGGGCACGTTTGGAGAGCAAAGCTGCCTCGTGTTCAGTGGGTGCAGAGCTGGGTGGTGTGCACGGGAAGTGTCCTCAGTCCTCCCATCCTGCCCTACTCAGAGCGGTGTGTCAGTGCTGGACCTCAGCCTGCCCGTGAGTTTTATAGGGATCCTTTCAGGTTCATCACCTCATACTTAATGATGTCTCCTACAAGAACTGGAAGTTACACTGGAGGTTTTCAAGATGCCACTGGACAGGGAGGGTGCTAGATAATCTTACCTGGGCTCCCTTTCCCATGAAAGGTTGGACCAGATGATCTTCCGAGGTCCCTTCCAACCTGGGCTGTTGTATGGTTCTAAGTGTTTTCAGTAGGCTGGGATGGGAGGAGGAAACAAGCCTCCTCAAACAGCTTTTCCTGCGGATAACATGAGCAGCTCCTTGCTGTCTGTTGCCGTCTGTATGAGGATGGGGGGAGCTTGTAGTTCTTGGGCCCTGGACTGGCTCCAGAGTTGTGGATCTGTTTGCAGAGGACACTAAGACTCAAGGGAAACATCTCAGTTGTATGGATGAGGTGTCTCCCTGGGGTAGGCAGGGTCCAGCGCTGAGGCTAGCAGGGAGTGTCTGTCTGGAGCTGTAGCATGGCATGGGACGGAGCACAGTGCCCTGGGTGGGAGATTTGAACACACAGCAGGCTGCTGGAGCTTGTGTAGCATCACTGTGTCTTGCTGGGGGTTTATTTTATATCTTCTACTGTTTGGCTGGTTTAGGTCCTGGAAAAACTTTTTTCATGTGTTTGACTGTTGGCAAAAGGTCTGAAAATCATAGAAATCATAGAATCATTGAATCGTTTAGGTTGAAAAAGACCTTTAAGATCATCCAGTCCAACCATTAACCTAACATTACCAATTCCTCACTAAACCAATTAAGGGTAGACTAGACTAAACCATGTCCCAAAGTGCCACCTCTGCCCATTTTTCGAACCCCTCCATGGATGGGGACTCCCCCACCTCTCTGGGCAGCCTGTTCCAATGCTTGGCTACCCTTTCCGTGAAGAAATTTTTCCTAATATCCAACCTAAACCTCCCTGGCGCAGCTTGAGCCCATTTCCCCTCGTCCTATCGCTGGTTACTTGGCAGAAGAGCCCGACCCCCCTCCCTGCCCCCTCCTGCCAGGAGCTGCAGAGCAATCAGGTCTCCCCTCAGCCTCCTCTCTCCAGGCTGAACAACCCCAGCTCCCTCAGCCGCTCCCCACCAGCCCTGTGCTCCAGACCCTTCCCCAGCTCCGTTGCCCTTCTCTTGCCACGCTCCAGCACCTCAATGTCCTCCTTGTGCTGAGGGGCCCAAAACTGGACACAGCATTTGAGGTGTGGCCTCCCCCATGTGCATCCACCTTCTGTCCCCTCTTTTTCTGCTGCTCGTTTGTGATGGATCAACCACCAGAGGTCAAAGCAAATGTTCAAAAAAACAATCCCGTGCTGACCGTTACAGGTTTGGTGCCCAAAGCACAGTGTGTGGTGCTTGAGTCAGGTGTTGTCCTAAACGGGCATCAGCAGGTCCTCCCAGTGACAAAGTGAGAGGGGCCCCTACAGAAGGCAGGAGTGAAGAAAAGATATTTATTACCAGGAGGAAAGGCCAAGAAGCACTGCAGAGAGAGCTGGGCGTCAGTGCCACGCACAAGCGGGCAGTAGAGTGGGAGAGGCACAGAGGTTGTGCTGGGGGAAGGGGCTCTCCTGCTGCTGTTGGCCGTAGCTGGCCTTTGTGAACTTGCGTCGCTGTTCATGCAGGCAAGCGCTGCTTTGCGGCCATGGTCAGCCTTCCCGGCTTCCACAAAGCAACTGGCCGGGCTGTGTGTCTTCACAGAGAGAGGAATGCTCCCCCGTTCTGGTCTCCATGCTTTCCAACCCTCTGCAATGCCCTCCTATGTGTGTTTGCAATGGGCTCAGTTGACTAACCTTGTTGTTCCTTCTTTCTCTCCTTCCTCCTATCCTTCCTTCCCCTCCCGCCCTTTTCCTACCCAAATCTCTCTCCTCTGCTCCCTTCTCTGCTGGTCTTAGCCGGTCCCAGCGCTGCAGCCTGTTCAGTATTCTCCAAGCTCCTGCCCCCAAGTCCTCTTGCCAGTCTCTCCACCCCAGCAGTACAACTTGGTATAAACCCCATTTCCTCTTCTGCACTGTCTCTGTTGTACTCGTGTGCTGTGTTTGTGTTGTATGAGCTTTTGCTAATCAGGTATGTCGTGGACGCTGCACCCCGTGGGTTTGGGATTCATGGAGGCTCTGCGCTGCAGTGGGGACAAGGCAGTGGGATGCCTGAGGCTGTGATTCACCCTGATTCACCAGGGCTGGGCACTGAAAAGAGCCTGGGGAAGAGCAAGTGCCAAGCCCAGAGCTCCACCAGGAAGCAACGCTGGTGCCCAGCGCTGGGGTCCAGGGGCCATGACTGCCCTGTGGTCTCAGTCAGCCCCTGTGTTGTCTCCGCTGGGTCTTTCGGGAGCGGCGCGTGCCCCGTGGGACGTGGCCTCTGGGCTGGGGCTACCCCTGCCTGGGTGGGGCCCCCCCCGCATGTCACCAGTGTCCACTGAGCATTCGGGCCCCCCCAGCAGCTCGCATGCCCCTACCCCTGTCCTGCAGAATGCTCTTGGTCTGTGGCTCATTGCTGGGGACCTTTCTTGGGCGAGTTCCTCCACGGAGAGTAGGGAGAAGGGGTCTGCAATCTACTCAGCAGAGCTCTGTCCTACATGCTGTTGTCCTACATGCTGTCCTCCTCCATCCTTCCCACTTCTCCCCAATGCAGGCGGACGAACTCAGCAACCCCTTTGGGCAGATCAGCCTCAGCCGACAGGGCTCTACGGAAGCGCCGGATCCTTCCTCGGCGATGTTCCAGTCATCCCTCATCTCCCAGCATCCTCAGCAGACAGGATTCATCATGGCAACCCCTGGGCAGCCCATTCCCACCTCCAACTACTCGGCCTCAGGGCACACGGCCCCCACACAGCAGGTGCTGCAGCCCCAGGGCTACATTCAGCCTCCCCAGCAAGTAAGGACATGCGCAAGCCTGGAGGGGACGTGCACCTCGGCCCAAAGCTGGCAGGCAAGGGGCTGCTGGGGAGCAGTCCAGAGAACAGTTCCTTGCGAGCGGGTCCCCTCTTTTTCTGCTGCTCGTTTGTGATGGATCAACACACGGGGGTCCAAGCTGCGGGTCAGCGCACAGCCTCACTAGGCACAGGATGATCTCTGCCCTCTTGTCCCTCTGAGCTCACAAGGCACTTCTCTGGGGACACCTCTGGCCATTTCTTGGGGGAGGGACAGTGACCACATTCAGGGCCGACACCTCTAAGCTCTCTTTGGGGTCCTGCAGGGCATTATGACCTCTAGGATTGTTCCCCTGAGCTGTGATGAGAGTTGTGCCTACTGTGCTCTTGCACTACTGTGCTGGGAAAGGCTTGGATGTGGAGGCTGGGAGGAGCGGGAAGGGGCTGCGGTTCCCTGAGGAGCTATCATCTGGCCAGAGCCAAAGCCCTGGTTGGTTTCCTTCGGCAGAAGCCAGGCCAGGTGAGAGAGAAAACTGGTCCTGGGGGACCAGCTTTCTTGGTCCCACTCCCTCTTGTGTTCTCATCACCGTGTTTTCTTGATTCTGATAGATTCAGGTTTCTTACTACCCTCCTGGGCAGTACCCGAACTCCAGCCAGCAATACCGATCTCTCAGTCACCCAGTGGCCTACAGCTCCCAGCGCACTCAGCAGCTCCCCCAGCAGTCCCAGCAGCCTGGTAAGGGGGTGTAGAAGTGGGGAGGGGGCATGTTTCCCTTTCCTGCCACTCTTGTTGGCTCTAAGGATCTCCCATGCACTGTCTGGGGCCGGGCTGCACTTCCTTTTCTCCCAGTCTCTGCTGGACTTGCTGACTGTAGAGTGCCTCTTGACGGTGCAAAGGCAAGTTGAAACTTGGCCTGGCTGCAATGGCTGTTTTAGTCGTTTCCCTCTCTCTCAGCATGTAGCATGTGCTGAGGTGCTGGAAGGTGGATTTAAAGCCAGGAGCTTCCTTCAGATCTCTTTACATCTGCCGTAAAGGAAGCCCTTTTCCCACTCTTTAGCAAGAGATGGGCACAAAGCAGGATTTGAGCCCTCATATGCCAAGTGTCAGGCTGTCTCCTGTGGCCAGCTGGGAAGCTGCTCCATTTAAGCCCTGTTCTGACAGGTTTACAGCCAATGATGTCCAACCAGCAGCAAACATACCAAGGTGTAATGGGAGTGCAGCAGGCACAGCCCCCTGGGCTCCTCAACAGCCAGAGGAACAGCATGGGGAGCCAGATGCAGAATATGATGGGAGTGCAGCAAGCGCAGCCCCCTGGCCTTCTCAGCAGCCAGAGGAGCGGTATGGGGAGCCAGATGCAAGGCCTGATGGTCCAGTACACCCCACTGCCTTCGTACCAGGTAGGCTTCGGTTGCTCTCTGATGAGGGGCTGCTGGGGAGGGGGTCTCAGCGGTGCAGGCCTTGTGGGAAGTGCCCTGTCCCTGTGCCTGAGTGATGGAGCCAAAGATGGAGACGTACTCACCTTGAGAAGATAGTGCGTGCTTGCCAGCTCGGGGAGGGCACGTCCGCATTTGAATCTGTGTGGGACGTATCTTGAGGAGGACTGAGTGCGGCTGGTCCCTTCACCATTGCGTTCACAGAAGAGCTGGCAGGGGCTGCCCTTAGAATCCTAGAATCATCAAATCATTTAGGTTGGAAAAGATCTTTAAGATTATCCAGTCCAACCATTAACCTACATTACCAAGTCCACGCTAAACCAATCAAGGGCAGACTAGACTAAACCATTCCCAGAGTGCCACGTCTACCCATTTTTGTCTGAGCAGGATGGCTCTGGGCTGCAGCAGCCAGCCATCTGGCATCTCTTCTACCTTGTACGGACCTCGCTGGTGTCTCTTTGCGGCCAGTTCTCCCTGCTCCTGCTCTGTGTTACCTGTCATTCCATAGAGCCGCTTCTTTCCTCCCTGCACAGGTTCCCGTGGCCAATGAGTCCCAGAGCGTGGTCCAGCAGCCCTTCCAGCAGCCAGTGCTTGTACCAGCCAGCCAGTCTGTTCAGGGGGGGCTTCAGGCTGGAGGGGTACCCATCTACTACAGCGTCATCCCAACTGCCCAGCAGAACGGCACCAGGTAAAGCTGTATCTCTGGCCTGCCTTGGGGAGAAGGGGGTCCTGCTGCCCTGCTGAAAGGGCACAGCATCCTGCTCCCGCAGCTAGAGGAGACGGCTGGGCACCGCAGATGCTGCTCATCTCTTGAGCTGGCTCAATCCTAGCTCCCCTAGTCAGCGCTTCTGGACACAGCTGTCCTGCAGCATGCGGTGATTCCCGTGCTCCTCCCGAGGCGGCTGTGTTTCCAGCCATCTCCAGCACTGAGGGAGCTGGTGGTTGCCTGCGCAGATGGGCAGGCTGTTTCTCCCCATCCCCGGCACCTCACCAGAGCACTCTCTCCTTCACAGCCCTTCGGTGGGGTTCCTGCAGCCACCAGGTTCTGAGCAGTATCAGATGCCACAGTCCCCGTCACCCTGCAGCCCGCCACAGATGCAGCAGCAGTATTCAGGTAAGAGGGGCCACCGGTCAGGGTGGGCGCTGATTCTGCACGGGTTGGATCCCGTTTTGTAGAGGCTGCAGTGAACAGAGCTGCCAATTCACAGCCAAGTCTGGCAGCTTGGGTTTCCTTAGTCTTACCCATCCCGTGGTCCACTGGGAATTACCAGGACGTGGCACAGCGACTTTGCTCCAGGCTGATGCTGGCCTGTGCCTGGCATCTCCTTGCCACGGTGGGCAGGCAGGGTGGGTAAGCGGAGCTGCTGTGGGCTGCGCACTCCCTCTGCTGGCAACACGGCCTGGTGGCACCAGGGCAGCTCAGGGGAGCGGGGAGTGCTGGGGATGAGAGGAGCACGGGGATTCCTGCATCCTGTCCCAGCTGCAGGGAAGTGAGCTGGGGCCTGGTGAATCGCTGCAAGAGCTGGAGCCAGAATACTCGAGCTCTGTACCCAGCTCTGTGATGAGATCCTTTGCCTGAAGTTTTGCTGTGGTGCTCAGAGAGGTCACCCGAGTTGCCTTTAACTTGTCCCCTCTGCTCACGTTTCTCCTGGATTAAAAGCCGTTGCTCTCTGATATAAGCTGTGAATTCAGAGAGGGATCCCGACTGGGTCTTGGCGGGGCCTTTTTTCAGCCCATCTGAGCAGGCGGGAGCGGCAGAGGAGGGGGTACGGAGGGGGTGTTGTAGGGAAGAGTGCGAAGTTGCGCAGACAGGTAGGCTGCCTCTTGCCCCCCCGGCAAGCAGCAGAAGCAGCAGCAGTGGGCGGCGCGCGGGATCCCGCTGCCGTCGTCTCTCCCCAGGGGTGTCTCCGTCAGGTCCTGGCGTGGTTGTGATGCAGCTGAACGTCCCCAACGGCCCCCAGGCCCCCCAGAATCCCCCTGTGGTGCAGTGGAGCCACTGTAAGTACTACAGCCTGGACCAGCGGGGGCAGAAGCCAGGAGACCTGTACAACCCAGACACCAGTGCTCAGGTATTGAGAGGACTGGGAAGCAGGCAGCTCATCTTTTGGGAGCAGCCTGGTGGGAGAGAGAGGACCCCAGCATCCGTGCTGTCCGGATGGGCTGGGAGCTGGGGGTGGGCTCGTCCCGTGGTGGTGGGACAGGCGTGGGAACGGTCGCAAGCACCGGGGCTGTCCAACGGCTGTCTAACGCTCTCCCTCCCCCAGGCCAGCACCCAGCTGAACAGCCCCATCACGTCCCCCACCCAGTCCCCGACACCATCTCCTGTCACCAACCTCAACAGTGTCTGCACGGGGCTGAGCCCCCTCCCTGTCCTCACGCAGTTCCCCCGGCCCATGGGCCCGGCACAAGGTAAGGGGAAGGTAACAAGGTAAGCACAGAGCTGGGACTTCCCTGTGATTTCTTCAGACCCCTACAAACGTTTGCTTCTTTTCTGCAGGTGATGGGCGCTACTCATTGCTGGGCCAGCCACTGCAGTATAATCTGTCTATCTGTCCTCCACCACTGCTCCACAACCAGCCCAACTACAATGCACACCAGGTAAAATTGGGCCAAACCCCCACCCACCCTTTCACTGTCCTGGGAGCAGAGCAGGACTGGCCCCCTCCTCTCCCCCTGGACAGCCCTGCCTGGGCAGGGCCCAGAAGTAGTTAAGAAGTGAGTCTCACACCCTGCCCTGTGCTTGCACACCCCTTGATTAGGTAGCAGGCTGCCTACCCTGGGCTCGTGCCGTCCATGTGGGCTCGTGCCGTCCATGTGGGCTCTTGCCGTCCATTTGGGCTCTTGCCATCCATTTGGGCTCTTGACGTCTGTCTGGGCTCTTGACGTCTGTCTGGGCTCTTGACGTCCATTTGGGCTCTTGCCATCCATTCAGGCTCTTGCCGTCCATTCGGGCTCTTGCCATCCATTCGGCAGAGCTGCCGTTGTAAATGGATTTCCCTAGAGCCTGGCACTGGGCTAGAATTTCATCCTGCTCCCAGCTTTGCCCAGAAGCAGTGTCAGCCCCAAGTCCTTTGAGTGGGCCTGGAACCATGGCTGTGCCTTGATCTCATCTAACTTACCCGAGCGCAGTGTAACCTCAAAGGTGCCAGGGGTGCAAGGTTCACCCAGGTGTCTTCGTTCCCCTCCACAGCCGTGGCCTAGTCAAGTTTGGTCTTTCCCCCCCACTCCCAGGGTGTTCTGTGGGCACTGTGAGGCCGCAGCGTCTCCTCAGGTGACTCGCTACGATTTTTCTTCTTTAAGGGGCAGACTGGAATGAAACATGGAAACCGGAGCAAGCGACAGGCCCTCAAGTCAGCATCCACTGACCTTGGGACAAGTGATGTAGGCAAGTGGCCCTCCTCAAGCAGTTCCCTCTTTGCCCTCTGCCCACTGCGTGGGCGTCGCTGGCGGTGGCAGAGACTCCAGATGCCATCTCTGCCCGCACCATCCCACAGAACCCATTGCTGGGGGTGG